CATTTATACCAATTAATAATTCTAGGAAAAATAACTTTCAAAAAAATTATTGTTTATTAATAATAATAATAATAATAATGGCAGTTTGGTAATTTTATTACCCATTATAATATCTGTTGGGAAAATTCCACTTTAGTACCCAGAACTTTAGGGGTATTGTCAAGTTAGTACCCAAACTTTCAAAAGTGTGATTGCAATTCCTAAACTTTCAAAAATTATCAAGTGGATCCCTGCCATTAATCGACCATCAATTATCTATTGAAAATGTCAAAACTATCATTCTAAAGAAGATACTGTTTATTGTCTTCTAACTTGAGACTGAACTATCTTGTTTTAAAGTTCGGGGACAATGTGTTCATTGTCAATCTGAAGTTTCTAGCCCGAGCAACATGCAAGTGGTTTTGTTTTCATGTTGTCAGGGGGCCAACTTCACGTCCGCAAGAATTTTAAGTTCAAATAGAAATTAAAAATTGGCCAGCACACTTCAGGGCAGCAGTAGCACAGTTTGATCTAAACGGACTCCTCAAGTTCCAGATTTAGAAGAGGATCCATAGAAAATAAAGTTTTTTTTTTTTTTTTCAGTTTTCCTCTTCTCTGGAACACTTCAAGGGTTGAGAATGCTCCACTCAAACTTCCACCTTGGTCTGAGAGCTCTTCGGAGTTGAGACCACAAATGGAGGTGAATCAGTTTTCCGAGAGGTGGGTCTGAGAGCTCTCAGTCTCTCTTCCATTACTTATAACAGAGAGATGTTTCTTTTCCTCACAACCCATATTACCATCAATCTCCTTTTTTTCCTCACTTCCAAGCTTTGTCGATCGCCATCACTTCCTTCAAGCCAGTGAGGACAAAGGTGGGTATCCAAACCAGGGGACAACAACCTCTTTGTATGTTGCTTTCTTCCTTTTTTCTCATGCAAACATGGCTTCCTTCCTCTTCTCCCATTGCTTCATCTCTGTAATATTAAAATTAAACTCTTGTTTCTTTATTAAATCTAATCCTCTCAAAAATCTCAACTCCATGGTCTCTTTGTTTATTCCTGAATCCCTGCTTCCCAACAAGATTCTTATGATTTAGACCCACAAAAATCTTCCTCTTCCCCACTTAATTTCCATTAATCAAGCTTTCACCCCAAGAATCAATGCCCGGATTTCCACTTTCTTTCCTCCCCAGAAACTAGCCTGCTTTCTCAACTTTGGTCCAAGTCCAAAAATGGAAAATATGAACATTTATTAAAATTTGTTCTGGAATTCCGAAAACAACAACGGTACCCATGAAATTATTTCCTCAAAAGGATTAGACCAAGATAGAATCCTAATCTGGCTCTCTACAGCATTGGTATAGTTTGCATAAGTGGGAAAATGTAGTGCAGGTTGTGGTACAAAGGAGGTGGAGGATAGTAGTAAATGTTGCATGGTCGTTGGTACTGATAGCCTGGAATTGGGTAAAATGGAACAACTATTGCCTTCGTCTTCTCTGGTTCTAATTCCCTTCTAAGATATTTTAATTGAGTATAGAATCTCAAACACCTCAACCGGTTCAGTCTCAAGGTAGAAGACAATGAATAATGTCTTCTTTTGGAGATGTTTTTGACATTTCGACAAATAACTGATGGTTGATTAACAGTAGGGACCAACTTGACACTTTTTGAAAGTTTGGGTATTAATTTGACACTACCCCCAAAGTTCAGAGTACTAAAGTGGAATTTTCCCTATTTGTTAATAGTTATGGACTAATGTGACCGTTTTTGGGAGTTCAAGTACAGTAGAAACATGTTTTAAAGTTTGGTACTAAAGTGAGACTACCTCCAAAGTCTAGGGTACTAATCTGCAATTTACCCTAAATATGAAAAACCGAAAAAAAAGAACCAATTAACCAATTGATTTGGTTTCATTTTTAGTTCACAATATTGCAAAAAACAAAAGATCAAGTTAATTGAACCCTAAGCACCCCTAACCATTACTTAGTAAGTTTTATTTAGTTACTGATTAAAAACATCAATGCTTTTTTTCTAACGCATTTTAGGACTTTTAATTTGTGTTTGGAACTCACAACAATGAAGACAATTCATGCCAGTAGCAATCCATATGTGAGCTAGAAGCAATCCAGCCTCCTAGCAATAATTTTTCATGTTGCAAGGTGCCAACCAGCTGGTTGGTAAGGTCTCCTATTGGTCATAGTGGAGAGTTGGGATTGGATCCTGCTTACACCTGGGTTGGGGGGTTTATTGTATCTGAGTTGCGTTTTTAGGGGGGGTGTCTTTGTATCTGAGAGGTCTCTTTGTGCCCCTTTCTGTTGTAACTGTAAAGATAGTGAAGTTGAATAAAAGTTGTAGTAATTTGTCTTTTGTTTATCCAAAAAAATGCAAATTTGATCGTCTGCAAGTTGAACTAATCGAGAGATGCAAAGCTTCCTGTGGAAATTGCAATATATCTTTTGCTTTCATGGCAACCAAGATCGCTTGCACAAATATTAGGTAGCTTTTTCATTTTGGCTTTAGCTTCTGAAATAGGAAGGTAGGTTAGAGTTCCATGTATAGCTCATGTAGTCCCGATTTACTGATGTAGTTCATTGACGTTTGATCAAAGAAGAAGATAGGGATGCTGTTTGATTTTAGTCTCATGTGGTTTAGGTTCATGCAGGTTTATTGTATCTGAGTTGCGTTTTGGGGGGGGGGTCTTTGTATCTGAGAGGTCTCTTTGTGCCCCTTTCTGTTGTAGCTGTAAAGATAGTGAAATTGAATAAAAGTTGTAGTAATTTGTCTCTTGTTAATCCAAAAAGATGTAAATTTGGTCGTCTGCAAGTTGAACTAATCGAGAGATGCAAAGCTTCCTGTGGAAAGTGTCCTTTCCTATTCTTAGAAGGCTTCCATGCGCGCTTTTAGATTGTTTGCACAAAAAGATGGAATCAAACTGAAAACCTTTTCTTGGTCTTGGGGTTGCAATGCCCCTATGCCAATGTAATGAAATTTCAAATTCGTTCTACAAGCTCCCATGGTGACGGACTGAACACGCTTGCCTGGTAGTTATTCTCTCTGGTGCCCATGGTGGATTATGTTTGTAGACAGATTTGTACAATAATTGATGATGGAGATGAATCTCTAATAACCGGGAAGACGAAGAAATAGTGTGATAATTGATGGCGGGATATGATGGGTATTCTCTAATCAGCTGGAATATGGATGATTTGGTTATGATTTGTTAGTTCTATTTCGGTTCATACGTTGATGACACTTAGAATTCATCAGAGGAATGTCGAAAGTCAAAACGCCATGGGACATGATTGCTGGACGAGGTGGGGTATGAAACCAAGAATGATAACATCTCAACTCAACAATGGCTCCTATTTTAGTTGAGAATAGAAAACCGAAATGGAAATGGTGTCATTCCATGTGGTTTCTGAAGATGAAATTTTGCTCTTTAGCTTAGTGGTGTACTTCTGATTTGGAGCTTGTTTATTCCCTGTGCTTATTTTAGTTGTCCTATTCCCCAATTTCGTTTCTGGGTTGCAAATTTTCTGAGTTCTGAATCAAGAAAATGACACAAGGCTATGGAGTAGCTCTACTTTGACCATGCACTAGAAAATCAGGTCTTGAAGGCTTGGAATGTCCTTGCTCGTCGCCAGATTAGTATCCAGCTTATTGAGATGGAATCTCGACCACACATTACTCTTTTTCTCTAGCCCTACCCTCGATCCTCCAAAACTGGAAAATGTCATGAAGAACTTTGCTTCGAAGCAAGAACCGTTGCCTTTGTCATTTTCTATTATGGTAAGTGCTCCCTTGAGGATAGTTTCATATGTTGAAGACATTATTCCACAAAACTTGTTTGTTCACAAGATGAATGAGCATGTTTGATGACTTTGTTTGTAAGATGGTTCCATTATGATACATATAAAATTTGTATTTCTTTTTGGGAATTATATCTTTCATAACTTTGTAAGATCATTTTTATACTCATGCATATAAAATTTGTATTTCTTCTCTTTGCTATATAATATATATTTTTCATAGATTAATCGGTTCATTACATTAAATACCCAAATTCGAACTCACAACTATAGCTTCTATTGTTCTTTTTTTATTCACCCACTTACTCCTTATTACTCGCCCTTGCTCTCCCTAGTTTTCCTTTAGGCTATGTTTGGTTTGAAGGAAAAGAAGAAAAAAACAGAAATTTATAGAAGGTTTGTAAAGGTTGCCCTACCTTTTCTTTCCTTTCAAATCAAACATAATCTAAAAATGGTTTAATAAAATAAGGGTAATTTGGGGTTTTAAAATATTTATAGATTTATTACATGTAATTAACGGACGGAAAAACCAATGAGTGGGGCATACGCCCACTGCTCCTTACTCCTTACGAACCGCACCTCACACCGACCTCAGAGACACATATCACCATGTATCGAGAATATCTTTCCTTACGGAGCGCACCTCACACCGACCTCAGTGACACATATCACCATGTATCAAGAATATCTTTCGTAATTAATTCATAATGCACGGTGGGATGTGTCTGTCAAGTCGGTGTGAGGTGCGCTTTGTAAGATCGGGTTATCCTCATGACTCGGGATTTGCTGCTCGCTTTGGCTGTCTATCACTTAGTACAGAACCAATCACAAGCGAACACGTCTGCTAACTGATGGCTGACGCTATGGTCCGTTGCACGTCTACTAACTTACTGCCCTGTCCTGTCAGACCGTCCTTTTCGATGACCTCATAGATAATCACTTGGGTCAACCTGCTGGTTCAACCATTCAGACCGACATCGCCTGTATGCTATTGCTTCACTGTATGTATAAGTGAGTATAACTTCAGCGTCAAATTTCTCTGTGTGATGTGTCCCATCTGATCAGAGAGCTAATGGTGTGGATCGGCTGATCGGCAATAAATCATTACAGTTCGTACTACTCGCTGTACCAAATGTAACTAGCTTCCCGTTCTGGTTGAACCTCACGTGACATCTAGTACACTGCCTCGCGAAATTAAAAAAATTAAAAAAATCCTGGTAATTTCAAACACCTTGTACCTTCATCTTCTTCCTCTGACCTCGACTTCTCCTCGTTTGTCTCCAAAAGGAAGCTCCACCTCCTTTTCATTCCCCTCCCCTTCCATGGCGAGCTTCACAGTCGATTCTTCGACTAAACCCCTGCAACTCGAATCCATCGAACTTGTCGATCTCCGCTTCTTATCTCAATCGGAACTCAACTCGTTATCTCTTTGCTCCGGCGACGCCTTCGACCTTCGCCGTTGTGATGACGTTGTAATCCCTAAAATCGACCGTTCCGTCTTCAACGAGAGCGCCGGAAGTCGAAAGCAGACATACTCTCGTCTCCGCCTCGCCCCTAGCAAACCTGAAGTCACGAGCATTGGTCGTCGCAGGCGCCATGCCGCCCTTCTTCCCGTCCCTAAACCCCCGCCGAACCCCGTCGACGATCCTGAACGAAAAGAGAACAAACAGATTGTTTCTATTCTACGGGAGCTGTTCGGTAAGGACAATTCGGTTACCGAGTTAATCCCTCTTGAAGGAGACCATGGAGAGCCGCTCTCCGAGCCCTTGAAGATGGAGAATGGAGTTTCTATGCAACAATTTCCGGTTGCTTCTGTCGACGGGGAAAGGAAGAGGAAGAGAGGTAGGAAACCGAAGCCCAAGGTAGAGGGAAATGGCGGCGGTATGAGCAACGCTGTTGTTGTTTACGATAGCATATCCTACGTGCAGAATCGGCCTATGGAAATTGTAAACCGGAATGGTGTGGTCGTTGATGCTGCTTCTTTGGCTAAAATTAATGATCCTTTCGGTCCTGAGTTGAAGAGGAGAACTTCTGGATTGCAGACAGAAGCAGAATTATTAGGGTTTCTGAGGGGGTTGAATGGACAGTGGGGTAGCAGGAGGAAGAAAAGGAAGATAGTTGATGCCAGTGATTTTGGAGATAACTTGCCCATAGGTTGGAAGCTTCTACTCAGCCTCAAGAGGAAAGAAGGTCGCGTCTGGTTAAATTGCCGGAGATACATAAGGTCTTATTACTACTAATTTTATTCTTCCCGTTTCTTCCCCTTTTCTTTTATTTCCATTTTGTGTTATGTTTAGTAATTGGTCGTGTACATAATATCCTACTCGTTCAGCGTTCAGCCTAATGGAGAATCTAGTTACTGTTTGGTTTCAAATGACTTATGTAAATGAACCTATTTGGGGTGAACTTTCATGTGCATGTATGCACATGAACAACCTTGCAATAAATTAATTTATCCATTGGGAATCCAAAGGTATAAGCAATGCATGAAACAAAAGATGTCAAATCTGATCACTTTCATTCCAATTTAATCTACTGCAAACCCTTTGAATGACTTTTATGATACTAGTTGATAGGTTATAAGTTTTTCCGGTATCACAGTTGAACTCAATTTAGAGAGGTGGGATTTTAACTGTTTGTTTGAGTTGCCTCATTCAAGTTAAGTAGCGGATCTCAATGTGTAATTTGCATCTTAACTGTCAGCTCCTCAATTTAGGTCTGGAGTTTGATGTATGGAATGTTCAGGATGGAGAAGGAATAAGGATGTAGTGTGAGGGTTAGTTAAAGGCTCATGAGTGTTATGTTCTACTTTTTGAAGCTTTCCTCTGCTTCGTGAAGATACAAGACAACTGTTTTTGTTAAAAAAGATAACCATTTTTTATCAACAAGAAAAATGTTATTCATTAATTTAGAATAGAAAGTACAACAAAAGGTAGTGAAAAAAAATAGCAAACCCAAAAACCGTCCCAAATTTACAAATAGGCCTAAAACATGGATTATCTCTGAATTCCTTGTTTAGTTAGGCCATCAACAGCATGGATCTTCTAAACCATCTTAGTCTCTCAATCCCCATTTCTTTAGCCTTCTCCACCCAATAAACTGCTGCCATTAGCTCTGATCTCACCACATCACCTTTCTGAATAGAACCTGAATACTGTTATGGGCACACCATCCGGCAGCGCACTGCGGAGCAGTCATAGGCAGCAGCACGCACCGATAGCGCGCAACGCGCACCGCACGACAGCGGCACCATGGCGCGCAGCACGCACCGCCAGGCAGCAGCGCGCACCGCACGCACTGCATGACAGCATGCACTGCGCACACGCCCAGCACC